TCTATCTATCTATCATCTATCTATCTATCTCTATCCCCCAATGCATGACTTTAGAAATTGGAAGACAATTGAATCACATATGCCCCCATCAAAATTACTCTTACTGAACCACTATGAAATACAGAAATCAACTGTACTGTAGTTTACAACATAGTGAACTAGAGAGGCAGCAAACTTGGCATTAAGGTGCTGATATCTGTGGATGAGTGGTGTGAATTGACCAGCTGCAGAATTTGGCCAGCCAGTTTTTTAGTTGTTGGAGTAGTTAAGATTAAACTATGAGTTCCTTTCCAAGTTCCTTTTCTCAGTTGCTTTGAGATTTGGAAAAGCTCCACCTGCAACCTTGCGACTGTACAATGTCTGCTATTTGAAAAATGTCATAACTGATAAAATATTAACATGACATAACTGTATGGTGTTCACAGAAATAGCACAACATTGGCACTTTTCTTTTGGGGCTTTTGAATGCCCTTCCCACTTGCTTTACAACATATTTTATTGAGAAAGTTAGAGATCTTTGCTCAGGGGCAGGTGAGGGCAGTGTTGGTGGCAGTTCTCATGTCTCTAAAGATGCAAACTTGCTTCCTAAAGCTATCACCATCAATCGGAAACTGATTGCCTTTGAAACTACAGAGGTTTTGACATGGCATTATTTATCCACCATCCATCATACAATATATAGACACATCATGCACACACTTAGCTAAAAAGTATTTTTGCAAGCAAGAAGCATTTCTTTTCACTTTACCACACCTTTATTGATAGAACTCTCAGCCTTTCCATGGTATTTAACTCAGACAAGCAAGGACTCAGTAAACAGAGCACAAAATATATCTTAACTCTTGAGTGGCGTGGTGGGGGGGATGGATGATCTTCCCTTCTGTTGGGTGTGGTGTGCATTCTTTCGCCTACAGGGACTCACCTAGTGCTTGGGCAGGGGTGGTTGGTCTCTTGAGGATCCAGTGGGGTTGGGGGTTGGTTGAGTGTGTCCTAGCCTTGGAGGAAGGATCCAGAAGAGGTAGGAACATCTGCTTGACACTTGCCCTATGGAATATCAAGTCCCCAAACAACACCTCTGCTAACCTTCTGGAAGTCTCTCCATATGTGATTGGGTCAACAGACCTGGAAGTTGCAAAGGAATGGTGATCTGAGGAAGTGACTCTATTGTTCACAATGCCTGACTCACTCCCTCTCTCTCCCTCCCTCCCTCCCTCCCTCTCTCTCTCTACTTTTTAATAGTAATTTCCATTTTTGTATTTATTTATTTTTTAAAAATGTCTTTAAGGTTTGATTGCATGCTGCCCAAAATCACATTTTGTGAGATGGGCAGCCATATAAATAAGATATACACTTACATACATAAATACATCAGGATGGTGACAGGTAGAAGAAGCATGACAGCCATTTCGGATGGGCCACTCTCAGGGACCCGATGTTTGCAAGTAGATCCACTCTATGGCCCTGGGTTATGTATCATTTGGGTTATAGCAGTGTTTCTCAAGTAGCTACTTGAAAGATTTTCTTTGTCCTTTTTTTTAAATGGGAGCAGAGTATATACCCCTGTTAACTCAGGATGCTTTCATAGTACATTAATTGGCACCACAGATGTACATTGGAGGAGGCAGAGACTTTAAAAGTGGTTTCCAAACTGAAATTTTAATATAAAAGAGGGGAGAAAAGCAGTGGTGGGATTCAGCCAGTTTGCACCTATTCGGGAGAACCAGTTGGTAACTTTCTAAGTAGTTCAGAGAACCGATTGTTGGAAGAAATCTCCTTTTGTTTTTTTCCACTTTACAGGGCTAATCCTGTAAGGAAGGCAGGAAGCTTGAGTTGGCCACCCCCACCCAGTCACATGGCTGGCAAGCCACTCCCACCCGGTCACATGGCTGGCAAGCCACTCCCACCCGGTCACATGGCTGGCAAGCCA